AGTTAACTTCCATTTGTTGCAGTTATTTAATTTAAGTTATTTAATTTCATCTGCTTTAATAGTTAAGAAATAGTTGTTTTTATTAGATAATGTATAAGTAATTTGATTTGAGTAATTAACAACAACAACAACAACAACAACAACAACAACAACAACAATGCGATTGTTTAGGAATCTTGGAAGTACAAGAGACAGGACCTGATCGGTAATTATAAAAGGCTGAAGATCAACGTTTATAGCCGGCAGTATATATGTTCTGATATCAAGAATGAGTTGGCCAAAGTTGAAGGGGCTTTGCCTGATTTCGAGGGCTCAGTCTTTGGTCCGTTCTTCAAGTTTCATGATAATGCTAATGTCTCTGCAAATGCAATACATGGGGTTCTTTCGCACGAGGTGACTCGTGTCGGTCAGAACCCGAACGAGATGTGGTTCCGTATTGGCGACCATTTTACACGATTCTCCGCCCATGAGTATGCTGTGGTGACCGGGCTTGCTTTTGGATCGTCTGCGTTTGACCCGAACTCAGCGCCTCCTCCTCCTCCATCATCGATTTTCAATCACAAATATAATGGCAAGCGGATCACTATGCAGAAGTTGCGTGAAGACCTGTTGGCGGGGAATTTCAATGACGACAAGAAGGTGATAATGAGAGTGGCGAAGATGCTAATGCTGATGTACTTTATCATTCCTCATGACGACAGCAAGCCTCGGTATATTGATAGCTGCTGGTGGGCTTTGCTTGAGGAAGACCAGATGTGGGACAAATTCCCATGGGGGAGTTACTCGTTTCAGTACCTGTTCGACTACTTGCAGTCGGCCCAGTACAGTAAAATGAAGTATCATATCTATGGATTTCACTGGGCGTTTCTAGTATGGTGCTACTAGGCAATCCCTGAGAGCCAGCCTTCTCCCTCCCGTAAGAGACAGCGTTCCCCCACTCCCACCTCCGAGAAAGCCGTCAATCCCACCTCTAACAATCCCCTCACCGAGACAGTCGTCGATCCCACCTCCACCTCCGAGAAAGCCATCCACAATCCCCTCACCGAGACAGTCATAACTCCCACCACCAAGAAAGTCGTGCTGCAGTCCACTTCTTCTCCGCAGTCCTCATATTTGGGGATTAAAGTTGATCGACAAAGACGACCAGGACGTGCTATTGTAAGTCCATATCGTCCCGTCGAGAACAGACGGTATGCCAAAAGTGAGCGCGCGTTTGACCGGTTCCTCAAATCCAAGAAGCCAGAAATGTAAGTACATCCAAAAGATCTTTTATTGTTTATATTTAAAAAAATAACTTTCTATTATATTATTTAATAGGAGGAATGTTGGCGTTAAATATGAGGTGGGCCAGGACAGGTTGAAGGAGTTGATTGATCCGGCTGAAATAATGTCGGAGGAGGTATGTATATGTTTGTCTTGTAATATCTTAACGTATAAAAATGAATTGATGGATGATGTTTGGTTTGATTTTATAAAACAACACATGAATGCACATCTGGGGATTATGCAAAGCAATTCAGAAGTTTTGGAGTTGGAGCCACTGGTCAAGATGTTGGGCACTTATACCATCGTGTCGACTATGCTTTTTGTGAGATTATTTTAATCATTTCTCTTTTCCGTGTCATTCCATTTTTATTAATAATTATATTAATAATATTATTATTTATTATTTTGTTGTATTTTATATAGTGGATTCTGGGAGAATTGAAGAAGGATGTGGAAAAGGGGTTAGTGGACCCAGACTCAGACAACCTCAAATATTTGATTCGCTGTGCGAATGAGGGGGTCAGCGATTGGGGGAATCGGTATACTTGGGGGTAGAATGAATCTGTAAGTTTTCAATGATTTCGAATCAATTAATATTGCAATCTTTCCTAAAAAATTAGTGAATTTCTCACAACTCAATGCAACAGATTATTGGAGTTGTGAATTTGTCGCAGCACTACGTAACTTTCCAGATCCTTTTACGCAATGAGACGATACGTGTGTTTGACTCCCTACGGCATGCGTATCTAGAAAAGGAGGACGAGCACATTCTCGAATCCCGCGTCAAAGCACTCCAACAAATCAAAAATCTAATTCCACTGATTGTGACGTATACGGAAGTAGAGGGGGTGAGCGAAAAGTTCAAATTGATATTCATGGACACCAAAGATACTATCTTGCAAGATGATAGAATTTCTTGTTGTGTATGCGTTGTGGAGATGGTACGAACATTGCTAACGGGAAAGAAGCCCTTAGACAAGTCTACCAAGCAGTGGGCTGGGAAAATGAGGCGCGAAATTGCTCGAAAAATTTTTCAGTTTATTACAAAACCAGAAACAATTACCGTCCCAGTTCTTTAATGATTCATGTAATACATATTTTTTTTCTATTTTATTATATTTTTGTTTGTTGTATGTATGTGGCATTTCTCATACCTGAAAGAAAAAAATTAAACTAAATTAAACGATGAAAGATGAAATAAATAAAAAATAAACCTTCGAGTAGAAGTGCGAAGAGGGTATGCGAGAAATATGCGGCAATTCGCATAACTGAAATAACTGAAAGAAATAAAAAAGAAATAAAAAATAAACTTTCGAGTAGAAGTGCGAAGTGGGTATGCGAGCAATATGCGGAAATTCGCATACGCCCATCGCATAACTGAAATAACTGAAAGAAATAAAAAAGAAATAAAAAATAAACTTTCGAGTAGAAGTGGGAAGGGGGTATGTGAGCAATATGCGGAAATTCACATACCCACATCGCATAACTGAAATAAAAAAGAAATAAAAAATAAACTTTCGAGTAGAAATGCGAAGAGCGTATGTGAGCAATATGCTGCAATTCACATACCCCATCGCATAACTGAAATAACTGAAAGAAATAAAAAAATAAACTTTAGAGCAGAAGTGCGAAGGGGGTATGCGAGCAATATGCGGCAATTCACATACCCCATCGCATAACTGAAAGATGAAAGAAGGAAAAAATATTCTACGAAAAAAACTTATAATGCACCAACTTTACGAATAATATGCGACGTTCGTATGTCGCAGAATAATTTTTTCGACAAATAGTCGCAGATTCATTCGCCTAACAAGAATAATTATTTAATGGGCGACGGACCGCGATTGACGGAATCGTACATCGAATCTCCGCATATTCGTCGCAGAACAGTCGCATACTTTAACTCATAATTTTCTCGCCCATGCTCATACCGGTCGTCTATCTATCGCATATGTCTTCGTACTTTTTAGGGTGAAAAACTTAGCTTTATATTGGGGAAAGTTTTATGTTTACCACAAGATTTTAAAATATTTGCATTTGTATTAAGGTGTAGATTTTATTTGCGTTCCTACCAAATGCATTACATTTATTAGTGAATAATCAAAATTCAGTTACCAAATAAAACATAAGATCGTGTTCCTTAAATTGCGCATGAATGGGGGAGATAGGATTTGCACTAAAAAAAACAAAAGATATGGTAAGTTTATATATCCTATTAATTAGGAGATTGTTTCAATACAAAATATAAAGGAATTTGAATCTCAAACAACATCATCTTCTAAATACATATAAAATACACAATCAGGATTATATACAGAAGATATACTCATTATATACCGCCGACATACAGAAAATACACAACAGATATACAAAAGATATACAGAATATAAATCGATTTTGTCATTATATACAGAATATATACAAAAGATATACAGAACATATACAGAAATCACATTAGACCACAAAATTCAAATTTCAGCTCGATTTATATACATAATATATACGCAAGATATACACAGCGTTTGTCCTTTTCTCAGCAGACTCATCTAATCCTTCAATTTAGGGTTTTCTCATTTGTTTTTCAACATGTCGATCCCCAAATCAAAAGATCTCACCTTTCTCCCATCTCCAACCATCATCATTCCCAAATCGTCTCTGTCCATAACAACCAAAAACCCTAAAAAATTTAAACAAACACAAACTGATTGCTAGCAATGATCCGAGCAGGAACTGTAATAATTCGATCTGATTTAGAGAAGAAGAGGCCGAGGGAATGGATATGCTCTGACAGAGAAGAAAGAGAACAGAAACGAACGGCTCTTATACAAATACAGAGAGAAAGAACAGAGAGAGAGAGAGAGAAGAAGAAGAAGAGATATGGAGGAGAGAAAGAAAGTCTACGATAAGTTCATTTCATCTTTAAATTAATCATATTTATAAAATATGGTAATTTTACAATTAATGTCATACATCTAGTAATTTTGCAAATAAAAAGGATATACTATGTACAGGGTGTAATTTACTCTTTATATTGGGCGGTGTGAAAAACTTAGCAGGACTTCAAAAGGGGGTGAAAATAGCTATTTTCACATAAATAATATCAATCAATTATCCTTATGCATCACGCCAACTTTAATTCACTATTTATCCACTCACATAATTTTAACTATCCACCACTTTCAATCACTCCTCTCCTACTTTTACTTCAAATCAACTTTAATCATTTTATTTTAACAATTTTTTAACACAACTCAAAATCTCACTCAAACTTACCTCAACCAACTTTATCAAAATTAAATATGGTTAACTAAAAAAACCAATCAAAACCAAAATATCCAATCACATACTTGTATCCATGCACACCCGTACCAACATTTGTTTAAATTCATTTTATCTAGGGATTTTGCTTAAATTCATTTCAATTAGGACTAAATCTTGCTTAAATTCATTTCAATTAGGACTAAATCGATGTTGCCCACATGGGCACTAACCCAAAGCCCTCTGGGCCATTAACGCACACACATATACACACAACCATATGGGTGTGTGGGGATCAATGGCCAGAACACCATGGGTGCCGTGCCCTTTGGGATAGCATGAAATTTTCCTTCGACTAGTTTACTTGCTTGTACGGTTATATATTTTATTATTTTTGCTATCAGAAGTCGCTTGCTTGCTCAAATAGTTCAAGCAGTAGGGTTATATATTTTATTATTTTTGCCATCAGAAGTCGCTTGCTTGCTCAAATAGTTTAAGCAGTACACTACGAAATGCAAAAACCAAAACTAGCAAGCTCAAATAGTTTAAGCAGTACACTACGAAATGCAAAAACCAAAACCTAATACACTGCAGAAGACGGACTGTAAAACATTGGGCAAAACCATCTACAATACTTGAAACAAACCCTAACCAACAAAAAGAGCTTAAAATACAAAATATGTTTTGGAATACTCATGATCACCACTTATATCTTCTTTTATCCGGTAGTCTGATCCAGAGATCATAATACATTGTGGCCAGGAAGTAATAGCCAGCTTCGTGCCAAGGAGGTTCTGCTGAAATTCTACTCAACTACAGTGGCTGTCCTTTATGTAATCCATAGTTAAGGCAAACCATTCTTGTACATCTTTTTTCTCACTAATTCTCTCTATACAGGAGCATAGGATCTCATAGGATCCTAGGATAGTAGAAAACATTTTGAAGTTCAGAAAAATTTGGACAAAAATTGCCTGGACACACTCAATTCACACTAGCTGAAACTTCATTAGCCACGGCATTATCGTTTTTCTTCGGTGGTTCTCGAGGCTTTTGTACAACTGCCTTGTTGGGTGATAATATCATAAAAATGTTCTTTTGCCGAAAATCCTTAGCTTCCTCAACTGCCAGCTGTCATTAGAACAATGAAGATATGACGGTCAGAGAAACTTAATAATGAGCACTAACATATTTTAAATAAATAATCATGTCCAAGTTCTAGTCAGTTAAGGATACACTCATAAAGCTGATATTCAGGAACTACAAACAATCAGAATTTACAACCAGATCATGGTAAGAAAATCTTGATCCACGTTAACATGGAAAGCCAGAAGAGTTTTAAGAGATTGCTGAATGTACCTCCCCAACATCACTTTGGAAGCGCCTGACAAGCTCAATAGCATTATTTCTGAATTCCTTTTCACGCCCCTTCAAGTTTACTATGACCTTGACCTGCAAGAATGATCTCAAATGTTAACACATCATACATTATTAAGTCATATATTACATGTAAATAGGGAAAAAGAAATTTATCAACCTTGTCACCATCTTTCAAGAACTTCTGAGCCGCTTTCAGACGTACAGAATAGTCGTGTACATCAATATTGTAACTGCCAGAGGGGTAAAGGCTATCAGGAATATGAAATATTAGGTTTTCATGGCTACAATATCAGATTGAACATATATAAGATCATTGAGAAAAGAACAAACTAAAGATGTCTCTTTAGAATGATCCATAAGTATCCTGCACAAATCAAGAAGTGACTGTTCGACCAGGTATTTATGGAATCCAGGCTATTTCTTGATTTTCTAAAGAATGGCCAATGAACAACACAAACAATAACATGTGAACAATTTATTAGTAGCCAAATGAGTTGATGTGCTCCGCATCCGAATGCGATTCAGCAGAGCTCATCGTCATAAGGGTTTACATCAATGATAACGACACATTACAAATGTTAGGATGTTAACAAGTGTTGAGCACATCTACGCTGACACCACCTAAAATATCACTGGAACAGGATAATTCAGTGAGTTTGCATCATTACTATGACCTCTGATCTCGATTTAATTTAGAAAGTTACTGGAAACAGTAAACTGAAGACGGCTTTCATAGCTGCACATGTAACTGGTAATGATGAAGGACCGTCTCTAAACAGCAATTACCTAAACTTCTTTTTTTCTTACTTCTGTTCTTTTAGTTGATATTTTTTTTATATTCCAGTTCCATGAGAAGGGAGGTCACTGGTTATTTTTCTAGTCTATCAAAATTATTCCTTGGGGCTAACCCTGTCTCTCATTATATCAAACTTGAAATAGATCCGAGGACAGATACTTACTAAATATTGTGGGTTATACATATAAACATAAGCAAAATAGCAGTTTGTTTCTTCAACACAAAAGGAGCTCTTATTTTGAAAATCTATTTAAAGCTGCAAGCTCATAACTGGAATTCAGACTTCAGAATCGACTTGAAAATTGAGTGGAGTGCAAATAAAATAATGTTAATAGCAAGCTATTGGTTTTCTCATATATAGAGAATTTGACTGAAAACTACAGAAAATACGGAAACCGGTGACATGGAAACCATGATAAAGTACATATATGATGTTCCATTTCACAAAGCTTACTATTGCCGTTCTCACCCAATGAAAATCAAGTTCTCATACGTCATAACACACACACACATACACACAGAAATAGAAAAGGACAGACAAATCAATGGAAGGACAAAACTCTCTTAAACATTCACTCACCCCATCTTGAGTTCCTTCAGTTCCATGCGGCCAGCTGCCATTCAAATCAGCACTTCAGCTATTATAGTTTCTGAGCAATGTGATTATGCAGGAAATACATACGCATAAAAGACATCAAAATATTCACCATACTTTTTTTCTGTTGATCTCTTGTCTTCTTCTGCAGCTTGTATCTATACTTACTGTAGCAATTAACCATAATTTAAGGACACCTTAAATTGTAATCAGTTGAGATAACTGACAATAACAGGAATTATAAAAATAAGAATGAGAATATGTGATTCTGTTTTAAACAGGGAACAAATATCCTACATCAACTTAAACTGAGTAACATTTATAGATTTCCTATATCAGTCTTTGGCAATCTAACATGAATAAAATGCAAAGGATGTCTTACTCATAATTCATTATTTTAACAACAGGAGGGTCTGCATCTGGAGATAATATCACCTAACAAAGAAAAGCATAATTCAAGGATAAATTAGCATTGAATCTTAAACTTATAAAATGAAGCATTACCTTGTTCAGGTGCTAAATGATACAACCATGTACAAAACTAGCCTCCAAGTTTTCTATTCTTCTTCTTCTTTTTTTTTTTTTTTTTTNAACCTAACCACTGCTAATATCCCTTCAAGTAACAAATTAACAGAATTGGATTATCTCATTACCTATTGTCCCTATGAGGAAAAAACTCAATTCCGTCTGGAATAAAAATTTCTGAGTTCTCAACCGATACGGCGGGCGTGCAACCACACACTATGTTGTGAATCGAAAGAAATTCAATGTAGCTTGAACACGAAAGATTTGGTTGATAAATGAAATTTATTTTTTTTAGAAAAACTCAAAAGAGTGGTACAGAGAGCATACCAACTGAAGCTTAGCATCATTAGCCATTTGTACAGCCTGATCCTTGGGTATTATCCCAACCTTTATGAAATAAAAAAAAAATTAAATAAATAAATAAAAAACGCACAAAAGAACAAGTTATTATGTCACCCCAAACAGAACCATCCAACTATAGCCTAGAAAAATATGTAAAGTACTCACCATTTTCTGCTGCTCATCGATAAGTCTAACAGTATCCGAACTGTCAGGCAGGCCATGTAACACAAAAAATCATGAATTTCCCGAGAGAAAAAGTGAATATAATTTATAAAATTCCATCAAAAAATCAGGCACTAAATTTCAGCTCACCTAATGGAAGAGATGTCGAGGGCTTCATCGTCATCATCATCTTCATAACTAGGTTGGGACCTCTGAAAGGTACCGCCGCGGCCGTAACGGGCGGAAATTGTGGTTCGAATTGTGGAATTGGAGAGGCAACCGCCGGTAGTGGGAGCACTGATGCGCAGCGAAAAAATGCGGAGGTGGAAAGATAAGGGCTTGAGGGGTTTGCAGAGATTGGATTTGCAAGGGTGATGGAAAGTGCTGGTCAGACCAGCCATTTTTGGTGGGGAGTTTTTGGAAGCGAAAAGAGGGTTATGGAGGTTTTTATGAATCCTAGTTTATCATCTTATCTATGGATGGAACAAAATATCCTGCCGGCTGCCGGTGTTAGTTTCTGGCTCTTATTTTGATTTGGTGAATTTGCGGTTCATGCCCGGTTTTAGGCCGATTCAGGTGGTTCTGGGTTTTTTTTAAGGATAAAATGATTTTTTTTTTAAGAAACAAAAAAGAAAAGAATGTAACATTCATAAATCATAAGATTATTTAAGTTGACAATTTTTTCCTTGATTGAACTTGAACATCAAAAAGAACGGCCAACAGTCTTGGCTTTCAACAATTAAGTGCCTAAATGCCTATTATCATGTCTAGGAACTTAACAATTAAGTAGATGCAATTCAGAGAGCATGAATTTAATATGATTAGTATACTACATCTCATTTACGTCTCATCCGCAGTTGCTGGAATTGTTCATAATTGAAAACGGAAATTTAGCAGACGAAAGGGGTGGGTATAAGTATAACAGTTGTCCATCATTTCGAAAAGGAATCATGAGCTTGAAAAGCATGTGCCCAATATTCGGGAGAGTCGTTCCAAAATGGGTCATTCCACCGGACACCATCACCGACTTTCTTTTTTGCGTGCAACATGACGGGAACAACCATTCCGCTCTCCGGATCCTGGCTACCAATTTTTGCTCCAAAACATTTAAGAAGTTCACAATCAAATCAAAGCAGTAACATCAATTACGCCAATGATGTCACGCCCACCGTCTCCAATATGTATCATGCTTCCAACTCTCTTACACTCCTACAATAGAGCAAGAAAGAGAAAGTACATAGAGACTATAATCAGTAACTTCAAGTACTGAAAAATCTGTATGCCAGTCTGTGTGAGTGTTCTCATTATTCAACTTCAAGACTATCATCATCAAATTCAATGGACGACTCAAATAAAAAATGGGTCAATGGTCGGGTGGCGAGTTTCAGGGCAGTCACGATCTGATCGGGTTTATTGACCCTGCCTGGTCCGTCGGGTCAAAAAAATAAATATAAACGACCCAGAACCTGTCAAACAACGAGCTCAGGTCCGGGCTGGGTTCATGTCTGTTCGGGTCGAACCAATGGGTCGGGCCGACCCATGGCCATGTCTAGTTTGGTGTAGGGGTGTTCACGGTCCGGATTGGTCTGGTTGTAGCCCAAACCATGACCAAACCGGACCTAACGGTTAATTTTTTTTCTTGTCTATAACCGAACCGTTTTATTTTTTAACCGGCCACAATCCAGACCGCATTGGACGGTCCGGTTTAGCGGTTAACCGATTAAATCCAAAATCTTTGTTTTGGGCCTTCAATTTTTATTTTTTTCATTTTGGGCTTAATATTTATTTTTTAAATTTGGGCCCAAAAGAAATTATTTAGGCCTAAAAATTAAGAAAAACAACAATAATGAAATTGAAGGAAAAATAAGTCGAAAAAAGGTCGGAGAATTGAGAATCCTAGAAGTGGGAAGATGGGGAAAATTAGGGTTAACTCAAAAAATTAGGAAGAGAATGTGGGAAAATTTGAAAATGAAAAAACGAAGGTGGGAAAAAGTGAAAAGTTATAGTGTCTTACAAAATTAAGTCAACAAAAGGCCAAAAAGTGAAAGTGGATGTATTGTATTTGTTGGCCATAGTGAATGACTGAATGTGTGTGTATATATATATATATATATATTTGTTATAGTTTTTTAGTATTTACCGGTCCGGTTAAACCGGCGGTTTGCCGCAGGTAATTCGCTAACCGGACCGGCTATTCCGGATTTTTAAAAAAATTAACCACCAGATTTTTTAAGACTTTTTTAACTGACCATTTAACCGATCCGCGGTCCGGATTGACAGTTTTTTCGGTTAAAACCGGACCGTAAACACCCCTAGTTTGGTAGTGAGTGATTTGGGAAATGTATGGGATCAATGATATATGACTGTTTTAGTGACATTTATTTTAAGAATAATAATTCATTTCAATCTATTTTATATTCGTTTTGGGCTTCGAAAGTTTAGATTATTATTTTAATAACTAGTAGAATGCCTATTATCTACACGGGTGTTTCATAAAAAAAAATAATCATCCAACAAAAAGTGAAAATGAATTGAAATTCTTATTGTGAAATAAAAATATATATTCATTTTTTCAACATAAATATAGTAATTAATTTATTCACAGTTAATATAACGTCCGTGAACAACACGGGTGCTTGTAAATTAAATATTTTTATCAACATAAAGAAGTGAGGAAATTTATATTATTATAATAGAATGATAAAAAAATACAACTAAAAATTAAAATAATAATGAAGTTACTTATTTAAAAGGTTTGATTATATTGTAATTATATTTTATATTTATACAGTTTTATTCCCCCATCTAATATTTTTTTAAAATATCTTTAACTTTATATTATTCAAATCATTTAAATATAATGTGTTTGAGATTCAACTTTATGAATATAAATATTATGTTTCTTATCCTAATTATAATGTCTATTTAGTTTTTTTCCTAGATCATTATAATGTTCACTCTGTGTAGTTTTTATTTAAGGCGAAACATAAACCTTAGAATATTTTTTTATATTAATTTGATGTTCATAGTTAGTTTGCATATTTTTTTTCTAAATAAAATAACTATTTTATGGTATGTTATTAAACATAAATTTATATTACTTTATAAGATAACTTATAGTTTTAATTAATATTTTTAATTTAGTTTGATAAATAAATTTAAATTTTCTTTATAAGGATACACGTCAATGTTTTGTATTATATATATAATATATAATAGGGATGTCAAATCGAAGATCATTAAAAAATAATTAAGTTGATATATCATATATGTAAAATAAAAACATGATAACTTATAATTTCATTTAATATTTTTTAATTTAATTTGCTGTTGTATTTTGTTTCCCTTTCTTTTTTCTGTCTTGTGGTTGGTGTCCTTTCAGTAGAAGGTCCTTTTCCTTGTTTTTTTGGAGGTTCTGCTAGGTTTGTAGTGTACACTGGGTAGGAATTTTCTAAAGTCCCGTTGATGCTTTCAAGGGAACTATTCCGTCAAAATTAAACCAATCAGAATCCGCCACAATATTCATTAACATGCACTAGAATCTAGACTAACTTTTCCAATTTTAAGAAGACGTGTAGGTGTAGGCGGAAGTTGAATGCTTATTAGCCAAATTATAATTACTATATATCTATACGTATGATCTCGAGTAATATAAGATATGTATAAAAATAGGGGGAATGCTACCATCCCGTTACGGGATGGTTCCGTTGTGTTTTTAACCGTTGGATTAACTACCCATTACTAGATTATATTTACATCTATGGTTAGAAAACACAACGGAACCATCCCATAACGGGATGGTAGCATTCTCCTAAAAATAGATGCATATATGATGTAATATAAAAAATAGTAGTGCTACAATAACATCCGTATAATACATGAATGTTATTTAAATTTTATATGCTTAAAAAGAAAAAAACTAGAAAGTTTTATTTAAAATTTTAAATATTTTTTAAAAAAGTTAATTTTTTTTTTTTCATAACTCATACCATATAAAAGACTTTGTAGATACAATTAATTAATAATTATTATGTTTCAAACTAGGATATATTAGATTAATTTTTATTTCTAATAGTAGATGTTGATAGTCGACGCCAACAGTTATTATAGATATAAATATTTGGTGTAACTAGTACGTAGCTCGTGCGATGCACAGAACAATAATTATAAACTACATACAGTAAACCCATGAAGGAATGTTGATTATTATAAAAATAGTTTTAAATATTAATATTATTTTTTTTATTTTATGATATATAATAATTTAATATATGATTGATATGTTTATTTCACTCGTTATAAAATAGTTATCATTTTTGGTGTATTTATGTTACCAAATGAATAGAAAATTTGAGGGATTTGTTATTCATGTTGAGATATCAATTCTATTGTAATATTTTGCTAGTTATATCAATAAGATTTTTGTAATTAATTTCTAAATTTATTTTGTACTTATATTTCAAAATGTTCTCACCCATATTTCGGTCTACATATGGATGGATGCCTAACAAAACAGGAGAACGAAGGAGTTGTTATTAAAGATAAAGATTGGTTTGTTATTAAAAATAAATATTCAAATTTCTTTTAATATTATGGAAAAATGCATTTGCATTTTTTGAAAAACCTGAACCAGTTGAGTTATTGATAAATCAAAAGATTCTAAACTAACCCCCTTTGGTTACTAAATGAATAAAAAATTACCAGAATTTGTTATTAAATGATAAATAAGATTCTATTGTAACGTTGTGATAAATATCATAACTAAATTTCATAATTGATTTTTAATTTTTATGTTGTAATTATATTTGCAATTTTATTGTGCATATTCAAATATTATTTTCTAGAAACAAAACCTATTTAATAGATGATTTTTTTGAAGACATGTTGTATAGTTACCAAAAGAATAAGAAATTTCAATGGATCGTAATTAATATGAAAAATTGGATTTTTATTATGATAATTATCACAAAATAATTTTTAAAATGGATACCACTTTATTTATATAGAAAGTCGTGCTGCTAATCGAATTGCACGATTTCTAAAAAGTCTATATAATTTGATTTTATTTTTTCTTTTTATAAATATTGAAGTAATTTTTACAATATTTCATTTAATAGTAAGCCAATCTATTTAATAACAAAGTCAAAGTTATTATTTTAGATTATTCCACCATCAACTTTTAGTATATATAGATTAATCGTAATAAATCTCAAGAACAATTTTGATGGACCTGTGAAATTAAATATGCGTGAAAAAAGGACAAGACGCCAATGTTGCCGATCGGCAAGGAGAATGATTCCCTGAAATTTTTAATAAGAAACTGTATAAGAGAATATTACATTCATGTGAGGAAGAAGTTTTATGTGTTTGGGGTTCATGTTCTAGGAATTAGAGGGTCGGTATTTATACACCAAAAATATGAAGTAAACATTAAATGTCTGGTGCCAGCTAAGGGCGTGGGGTGACGCCGCGATTATCTAAGCAAACTCTCTTTTTGAGGATGAGACAGGTTTGATGGTTCTATCAACTTTATCAGTTTAATTAGCATTAAGACGAGGAGAGATCGTCTAAATAAAGTTGACACTATCACAGTCTGGTACTTGATATATTAATTATTTGGTCTCTTGGGATACGATCTTACTTGTCACATACTACGAGCGAAGCCGTACACTTGCAGTCGAGCTTTAAAAATATAGGCAAACAATACATGTACTACTCGAAACCACAAAAATTTAACATATAACTAGCACTAGAAATCGACATATACGATTACCAACCACCAGAAGTTGACATGTTTGGGAAACTATACGTTTACGTATAGGAAGGATATTATTTAATATTAATAGCGAATGCATATATGATGTTATATAAAAATGTTAGTTAACATTAAATTTGTTTTTATTCTTTTTATTTATTTTTCATTATATATAGTACTTTATATTTGATTAATATGCATATCACCTTATATATAAATGAAAATTTTTTCTTGTCAACTTTTGTATTTGATAATCATTTCAAATACTTGATAATCATTTCAAACACTTCATAATTCTATATGTCAAATTTTATATATTGGACGATCCTATTTATAGAATTAGAACTTATATACGTACTCACTATTATGTCTAAAATTATAATACAATAGATTAATTTAATTATAAATATATTTTAAAGTTTAATAACTTTTATATTTGTTATATTTTTTCATATATGATATATCAAATTAGTCATCTCTTGAAGATGTAAAAAATAAAATACCAATAAATTTAGAAATATAAAATCAAATAAAATAGAAACTTTTTATTAACTTATCAATTGATTTTAATAATATTTCGTAATGAATTTAATTATAATTCTCAAAATTCATCCTCTACATTCCATAAATAAATTAATTTTACGGGGAAAAATATTTGATGATCATGAAATAAAAATTTATATAGTGCTGTGATTATATGTGGAAACTTCTATATATTTATTGAAAATTATTTTTTCTAATAAAAAATATTTAGATACTTAAGTTGTGGGCTACTCATTTCCTAATATATTTACTGTTAGCAATTATGGAAACAATTGTCTACAGTAGTATACATAGTGGTAATGTACACCGCCTCTGAATCTAATGGATCAGAATGAGTAATAATATCGAATGGTTTATATTAAAGGAACGGAATGATGTCGTGCCGGTACTCTAGTCACTCTCCATCTTCTTAGTCTTCTATTTTGAAGACTGTTTGGCTAGTTGGTCATCCTCGTTGTACATTTATAGTTCAAGTAATATTATNAAAAAAAAAAAAAAAAATTGTCCGTGGAGTAGTTTGTCTTTCTCTGTAAAGTGTTTTATCTCTCTTATTGGGTTTTTTATTTTTATTGAGTTTATTAGAACTTTTGTCAGTTCCTATTTTTTCTTTTGGTCTCTCGACAGTTTTAGAATGTTTTTTGAGTTTTCATTATTCGTAGGAGAAAAAATTAAAAAAAATCCCCCAAACCTTATCAGCTTTTGTTCAAACGTAACCTTATAATGACTAGGATCATTATTCATTCATTTCATAGTTGCAATAGAGAAATTATCATGGCCTTCGGTCAACAAATGATGACCAGGATCATCATGCATGGTTGACCCATAAAAAACTGAAGTCCAATTTTATTACATATACAAACTGCTCCAACTTCATTTACAGTGCCTGTTACCACCCTCCCTCGGCCACTAGAATTCACAATACACAGCCCAAAACGATAATTCAAACAAAGGCAAACGACACACAACAAACAACTGCATATATACATTATTAAAACACACAGCAGAACAGCTTCCACACTCAGTCGACCTCCTCAATCTTGGGCCCCGTACCCGACCCACCGCCACCATCATCCTTGTCCATCCCTTCCCCACCACCACCACCACCACCACCCTGATACATCTTGGATATGATCGGGTTACATATTCCCTCAATCTCCTTCAGTTTATCCTCCAGCTCGTCCACCTCCGCCAGCTGGTTCCGGTCCAGCCACTCCACCGTCTCCTCCACCGCCTTCTCTATCTTCTCTTTATCCCCTGCCCCCAGCTTCTCCCCAAACTTCTCATCCCTCACCGTGTTCCTCATATTATATGCGTAGTTCTCGAGCGCGTTCTTCGCCTCAACCTTCTTCTTCGCCTCCTCGTCCTCCGCCTTATACCTCTCCGCATCCTTCACCATCTTCTCTATATCCTCCTTGCTCAGCCTCCCTTTGTCGTTCGTGATCGTTATCTTATTCTTCACGCCCGCCGTCTTATCCTCCGCCATCACATTCAATATACCGTTCGCATCGATGTCGAACGTCACGTTGATCTGCGGGACACCCCTGGGCGCCGGCGGGATTCCGGACAGCTCAAATTTCCCGAGGAGGTTATTGTCCCTCGTCCTCGTCCTCTCCCCCTCATAAACCTGGATGAGTACACCCGGCTGGTTATCCGAGTAGGTCGAGAAAATCTGCTCCTTCTTAGTCGGGATAGTCGTGTTCCTCGGGATCAAAACAGTCATGACACCCCCAGCCGTCTCCAAACCGAGAGAAAGAGGCGTGACGTCGAGCAACAGAAGCTCCTGAACTTTCTCGTCCCCTTCACCCGTCAGAATGGCCGCCTGCACTGCGGCCCCGTAAGCGACGGCCTCGTCCGGGTTGATGCTCTTGCAGAGCTCCTTCCCGTTGAAGAAGTCCTGCAGAAGCTGTTGGACTTTGGGTATCCGGGTCGACCCGCCCACGAGAACCACCTCGTGGACGAGGGACTTGTCGATCTTGGCGTCCCTCAAGCACTTCTCCACGGGCTCCATGCACTTGAGGAAGAGGTCCATGCAGAGCTCCTCGAACCTCGCGCGCGTGACCGTCGCGTAGAAGTCGATCCCCTCGAACAACGAGTCCACCTCGATCGTCGTCTGGGCGGTCGACGATAGCGTGCGCTTGGCGCGCTCGCAGGCTGTGCGTAGCCTGCGCAGCGCGCGGGCGCTGCCGCTGACGTCCTTCCTGTGCTTGCGGCGGAACTCGGACACGAAGTGGTTGACGAGGCGGTTGTCGAAGTCCTCCCCGCCGAGGTGGGTGTCCCCCGCGGTGGCCTTCACCTCGAAGATCCCTTCCTCGATCGTGAGGATGGAGACGTCGAACGTGCCGCCGCCGAGGTCAAAGACGAGCACGTTGCGCTCGCCGCGGTGGGCGGCCGCGGCGCGCTTGTCGAGGCCGTAGGCGATGGCGGCGGCGGTGGGCTCGTTGATGATGCGGAGGACGTTGAGGCCAGCGATGGCGCCGGCGTCCTTGGTGGCCTGGCGCTGGGAGTCGTTGAAGTAGGCGGGGACGGTGACGACGGCGTCTTGGGTTGGGGTCCCGAGGAAGGACTCGGCGGACTCGCGCATCTTGGTGAGGACCATGGAGGAGATTTCTTCCGCGGAGAACTGCTTGCGTTCGTTCTTGTAGGTGACGAGGATGAGGGGCTTGTCGGAGGGGCCGGGGACGACGGTGAAGGGCCAGAGCTTGGCGTCGGATTGGACGGAGGGGTCGGAGAAGCGGCGGCCGATGAGGCGCTTGGCGTCGAAGACGGTGTTGTGGGGGTTGGTGGCGACCTGGTTCTTGGCGGCGTCGCCGATGAGGCGTTCAGTGTCGGTGAAGGCGACGTAGGAGGGTGTGGTGCGGTTGCCCTGGTCGTTGGGGATGATTTCCACGCGGTCGTTGAGCCACACGCCGACGCAGCTGTAGGTGGTGCCCAGGTCTATGCCGATTGCTTTGCTCTGCTTCGTGCCGCCAGACATAGTGGTTATATTTTTGTTTATTGACGGAAACGAAAGAAGAAAGGAGCGTAATTGATTTTTTTGTATGATGCTTTGATTTGGCTTGGAGAATGTGGGGGTGGGA